GTTGTCCATGAATCCCTCTCCCCAACCTCTTCTGGGCCCTGGAATTTTTATAGTATGTCAAGGGGAGTCTCAAAGAGAAAAAGAGCTGACAACCCCCATTCTAAAGAACAACCCCGCTGCCTGCAATGCTGCATGCTATGTCCCTGGAGCTCTGTGGGTCTCCAGACACTCAAAACTTGAATCTATTTCAGTCTTTTTAGATGCAGAAAGAGCATGTGACAAAGTGCCTTGGAACTTTCCCTTTGATGTTTTGCATAAATTTGGATGAGATGATATATTATTCCTCCAGTGGCTCAAAATGTTATACTCTCCTCCTAAAGCATCTCTACTAGTGCTTAATCAAAGTTGCCGAGTGCTCTGTTTAGGAACAGCCACCTGCCGGGGTATAATTACTTGCTCTCTGCTGAGAGCCACCAGCCACTTACCTTAGCAATATACTTTTATTTCCACATATTCAATATAAAAACATAACCCTTAAACCTGTTTTTACACAGACAATATTTTTTGCTTTATTTCTGCTCCTAAAGCCCAAGCACTGTGGAGGAAACAGACCACTTTAGCCAGGCCTTGGAGCTATAGTTATAAGAAATGTGAAGCTCTGGATATATAGTTTGAACCTCTCTAAACATTAGACCACGGATGTTCCAGGACCAAAGTCCCAGAGGAGGGCTGGCAGGTGGGAGCCCTGTGGTCTGGCAGGGCAGTGGGCTGCTGGCAGAGAGCTTCCAGAGGGGCTAGGATCCTTGTGTGCCCCTGCAGGGCCAGGTGGCAGGGCTGGGAAGCCCAATGGGGCTGGCTGGTGGCTGGGCCAGGGCTGAGGGAGCTGATAGCAGGGGACCTACCCTGAGGGAGCCAAATCCCTAATCTGCGACAAGTCAGGTTCAGAGAGTGCAAGATCAGGGAAGTCCAGCCTGTATTGCCACACATGCCTTTCACTTATCTTAAGACTTTCCTCTTCGTTGGACCCAAAACTCAGCCAGGTAAGCCTGCATGTCCCCTCAAAGCACCACTTGGAGCATAATCAGAATATTTATTCTCTGCTGAAAACCTTTAAAGATACAATGACTGGAAAACCCTTTCCTTTTCCTTAAGTGCATGTATATACCTAATTAAAATGGTACCACATCCACCTATTTTATATAATCTCTCATTATTTCCTACTCTATTCTCTGTGAGGGATATTAAGAAAAAACAAAGAACTCACAGAGTTTAGTTAGATAAGAAATGACTCAAGAATTACGCGAAAAAACAAAACTTTTTTTTGCATTTAGGAGGCTATGACTTTAAGCTCGGACTTTACATTCTGCTGGGTCACACTGTGAATTGGTTATACAGCATAAACTTGTTTAATTAGAGCAGACTATGGCTGAGTGAATCACTCTGCCTTGTTTCTTACATTGTGAATATACATTATTGCCTCTACAATTAAAGTTGAACCTTTACTATTAGGGATGTAAAAGTTTAGCCAATTAACTGGTTAACCAGTAAACATTGCCTTACTGGCATGCTTACCGGGGTAGGTGGTTAACCAGCACCCGGCCTGGCCAGGCCCATCCCATGCCTAGCCTAGCCTGACTGGAGAAGCCAGGCCCACTGCTGTGGGTGAAAGCTGCTCCAGCAGCCCTACCCACTGCCTGTGGTGCAGTGGGCAATTGACCAGTTATATCTATAGTTTAACCAGTTAACAATTTACATGGCATTTTACATCTCTATTTACTATATACCAGGTGTAGGGTATGGAGACTTGCTCACTCCCATATATGGCCCAGCCCCTTCTCTTCTCAATTCATGGCAATCCAAATTTTAATCCAGAAGAAAGGCATTACAAGTGATAGCATCTAAAATGAGTAGTTAGCAGGAGAGTCAAACAGTGATAGGAAAAATACGAAGCTGCACTTACAAGTAATGTTTGTCCCATTGCCCGCGGAGTCGGAAGTCAGACAAAAGGATGAAAGCTAGATTTGATGGTATCTTCACTTGCATTTCTACCTTGACAGACAAGATGTCACTCTCTTCATGTGTGAATATTTTTATCTGAAATGAATAGCATTTTAAAAATACAGAATGAAGAACATAAATGGACAGCTTCAGCAGATTTTCACTTGGCAAGAGAACCTGCAACATATGTCTGACAGGCAGTGAGATGCAGATGAGTATTCAAAGTTAGTTTCAAAATAATTTTTACATTAAAACGTATACATTTATGAGAAAAAAGATAATACAGTACATGATGGTGCAGTAGAGTACTAATGGTTAAATTGCATAAATTGGGCGAAAGTGAATTGTCTATTCATGATGAAGACATGAACCATAAGCATCTATAAACGCTTTGTTGCTTCAATCATCATGCATTCTGCATAAACTAGATATTTCACTGAAAAGGTGTTTCACAAATGTTTGGAGAGTTTTACATTTTGGAGGAATTTCCCTCTGAAGCGAGACCAATGACACAGGGCTCATGGTGACAGAGAGCCCAATTCCTGTGTGATTTCCATAAACATTGTGACAATTGACACCCTTTTCTGGTACAGAAAAAAAAAGCCTCTTCATTAAGGCCCCCAGATGCTTAGGTCACCTATTCAAAACAAAAGGCCACATCCTGGCCCTCCTTTGAAATCTCTTATGTTCCGTCCAAGTGCAGGGACGTAGGATATTGAATTTAAAACTCATGACATTTTTATATCTAGAAAAGCCATTATTAACTCAGAATTCCATCTTGTCCATCCTCGGCTTTGACCAGGTGTAAATATTGAGGGAGGGCTACTGGAAGCTTCTCAGAAGTTTGCTGTTAGAATAAAACCTAAGGAAGACAGATTAGTGGGCAGGGAGCAGATGATGTGTTGCTTCAATTTATTACTATCCTTCCCATATATGTGGTGAATATAGACACATCATGGCCAAGATTTTCAAAAGTGACTAGTGATTTTGGATTATTTATTTTTCTAGAGGATTTGTCTTACTGGATCAGTGACCCACCTAAGTCTCTTTTTAACTCCCATCGTTAACAGTTGGAGGCTGGTCCTGAAACATCCTTCTGGTTCACAAATTTTTGATTTTTCTATTAATCCTTATTATTAACTCTGGAGGTTTCAGTTCTCGCTGTGTTGAAAAATTATTTCCACACCACCACTTCCAAAACATATTTCTGCCTAGCTTATTAGGTATTGTATTAAAATTACACCTCAAACTGTCTCTTGTTTGCACAATGCCTTCACTTGGTCATTTTGAGAATAAATGGGATGACTCAGTAAGTAAGCATATCTGTAAGTCTTTTCAGGATTGGAACTTCAGTGTGTTGTATAAAAGTTATATTATAGTACAGATAAGAATAAATGCCATTAATCCTAAACACTCTCTCTTACTAAAATTTTAATCTGGTGAAGTAATTTGCTTTCTGCCGCCTGAATAAACTTAACAGATTTTTATTTCCAGTGATGTAAGATTCATGAGTATTACAGTATGTGTTGTTCATGCATGACATGTCAGAGTTAATTATCTGTTGGCTTACTGAACATTTACCAATCAGCATAGATTTGTATGTTTTTATATTTTATATATATATTCACATTTGTGAACAGAACACAATTATAACAAGCCTCAATATAAGGTTTTAGCAAGCCATACCTGGAAACGTAGGCCTTGCTTATAGACCAATGGTCTTATTTGCTAAATCACAAGATGGGATACAGGTGGGGTATTTTAAAGCAGAGGTGTGCAACCCGTAGGTCGCGTCCCACTTGGGGGTAGCGGCTGCTTTCCTGGGGGCGGGGGTCACAGCGCTTCGATCCGGCCGGCCGCTTTTCCTGGCCTCCTGGCTCCGCACCCGATGTACACACAGTGGGGTAGGAGAGTGGCCCAACAATTACTTTTTTTTTTTTTTTTGCTCAACCAAATTTGGCGGCCCCCACAGGGGTCACAAATGAAAAAAAACAGGGGTCACTGTTTTAAACCACCAAATTCGACAGTAGCTTTATAAAATCTATCTGTAATATATAGACAAAAAAAAGTTATCATGGGGATTAGCATTGAGAACATATGCTAGAGTTTTTATGCCAGCATTAGTAAAAAAGCATCCTTAGAATTTATAAACTTTGTTACATAAAAATATTCAGAGTAATTCTACACTAGAACACATTCTGATTGACAGGATATGATCCTGTGGAAAAAGTAGTATGGAAGAATGTAATTAAAGACAGTATCATGTAACACATATACAGAAGGGGAGAGGCAAATTAAGATTATACCAGTAACCTTAATTCTGTCATTTCATAATTTTGAGTCATCTAATTTGCAACTTTAATGTTCTATAGATTCTTATTTATACTTCTCTCTTCAATTTAGTAGATGAAGGTGGGACCCACACAGGTAAAATTAGTGGGCATTAGACATTTATTACATTGGGGAGGTCACAAAGCTATTTAGGCACTTAATTGCCATGAATGTGAGTGGGGAGTTAGATACCTAACTACCTTTTTGAATACCAACCTGGGCACCTTCCATTAGTATATTATGCCACATGGCTAATACCTGACATGCATTGTTTGTTCTCATCTCATCCTCTTGCCAGGAGGAGAACTGTGTGTGCAGTGGAGAATTTTGTTCCAGTAAGGTTTTTGCTTTTTTTTTTCTTTAAATATATGTATTGCTCTGGGTCTGGGTTTTTATTAGAGCTGGCCAGTGTTCTGCATATTGACACCCGATCCGTCATCTTGTGGACATGTCCTTAGAGAAACCAGGTGGAAGAAGTACTTAAACTGAATGTTTACTCTGTTAGGAATATGTAATGTGTCTTTAAGAGCACATGTTAGAGGGAAATATACTGGAGTTAGCAAGAACTGGTATCTTGGAGGCAATCTAATGGCAGGTTCATCTGACACAGCTGGGAGCTCATGACTCTCTTTTAATTTAGAAAACTGAATTTTAATTCTTTAATTCTTAAAGTCGTAGAAATTCTCATTATGAATTCACAAGGCAATAGCTCCCAAAGCAGGCTCTGGGCCCCCTTTTGGAAAGCTGCTAGCAGGCCTGCACCACTTTGTTTACCTTAGACATGGAGCCTCGCAGCTCCCTTTGACTCCCGTTCACCGTTTCCTGCCAAGGGGAGCTGTGGGAAGCAGTGGCCTGGGCCACCCCACTTCCCGTGGCTCCCCTTGGCTGGAAACAGTGAACCGGAGCCACTGGGAGCTGAGAGACTTCCTGTTTAAGTAAACAAAGCAGCACAGCAGCTTTCCCAAAGCAGGCCTGCAACACACTTTGTGAAACACTGCAATAGATGCTACTAATGGGATAGAAGAGAAGACAGAGCAAAGAGGACTGTGGTGAAAGAGCAAAGGGGTCACCATGAAGAGGGAAAAACTAAAAGCCCCTAAAGAGTTGAAACTCTCAGGTAATTCAATGGACTCCTGGAAAAGATTCAAACAGAGTTTTGATATATAAGTGCAAATAGCTAGGGTTGCCAGGTGTCCGGTTTTGAACCAGACAGTCCAGTATTTGAGCTTTCTGTTCAGGAAACAAATTGAGAAAATATAAATGAGAAAATGTAAGTGTCTGGTATTTTCTACATATGATATAAAGTAGATTGTGATGTAATGTCAAGTATGTCCAGTATTTTTGTTGAAACCATATGCCAACCCTACAAATAGCTGCTTCTGGTGAGAAAGACCAGCAGGAAATAGCAATCTCCTAGAACATTTCAGGACTTGCGGCTGTAGATGTCTTTAATTCAGCAATTCTCAGACTGCGGGTCTGAACCCCAAAGTGGATCACAACTCTGTTTTAATGGGATTGTCATGGGCTGGCATTACCTTGTTACAGGGAGGCCTCAGGTTACAGGCCCTCCACTAGGGACTGAAGCCTATGGGATTAGGTTCTGGCACCTTTGCCAAGACCGATTTGACTCTGGCTCTGGCTTTGGCCTTGTCCCCGGCCCCCCTGCCAGGGGTGGCAGAATTCGGGCAGGCTCTGACTTTGGTCCCTATTCCTGGGTCATGTAGCAATTTTTGTTATCAGAAGAGTCATGGTGCAGAATTTTGAGAACTCCTGCTTTAAGAGCATGCAACTAAGTCAGGCAGACAGTACATTATGACACAATTTTGCAGAAATTTGAGGAATACTGTATACCTTAAAAGAGTGAAACATCTGAAAGGTATACGTTTCACTTAAGAAGACAGAGTATCCTTTGAAGAATTCTTAACAGAGCTGAAGTGAATGAGCTAACCCTGCAACAATGGTCATGTTATAAGGGGAGAGCTGCCTCTGCTGGGGACTGGGACCAGGACAAGGATGGATGGCTCCCCATGGATGGATGGCAGCTAGCTGGAATGCAGAATGAGGTAGAAAGTGACTCAGGGAAGCTGTCTTCAGGCTGACCCAAAGCACTGTCCTCAGTGAAGCTGAAACAGCCTCCACAGGCCCTAGAATACAGTGGAATGGGGAAGGCCTGGGTTCCCCTACCCATCCTGTGAGCTGCACCCATGTGTTGGAACCAGAAGCTCTGCCCATGAGCTACACCCAGTAGACAAGGTTGCCACTGTAAACCAACCATTGGGCGTAACTACTACTTTGGGCCCCAACCACCAAGCAGGAGATGCTGCCTCCCACTCTCAGAGAATTTAATTTTTTTTCTTTCCTAATCAGAAATAAACCAAATTTTGAAATATCAAAATTGTTCTTGGAAACAGCATACCCTTTGTCTGCCCAATTCTAATGATGAGCAAGATCTGCCCCTCCGAGTGTTACTAAGCTTGGCATGCCACTGTTCCACAATTCTGTACTTACATTATCCAGAGTGCTCGTTATTTCCCATCCACATTTTGATGCTAGCACTGTCAGTGTAGCTACATTGCTATAACTCAAGTATGCCTGAAATGTAAAATGCAAGGGCATATAAAAATGTAAAATGAAAGGGTGATATAAAAGAGAACCATAGTTACTTCCAGAATCACAAACCAGGCAAATGTGTTTTTTCCCCTTAACTGGTCTTCTTCCAGAAAACCATCCTGTGGGTTCTGAATTAAACACTGTTAATAGCTAGATTATGTTTTCACGTGGCTGATGGCAAAAGAACCCTAATTAAAAACACTAATTTGGATTTCTTTGATGGCTAAAATAGAGCAAAACCACCCTCAACTGCCAGAGACAATACTTCTCACCTTGGAGGGTATTAAATTAATAGTATACATAATTTTTCTTATAAGTAATTAAAATCTGCTAGCAAATTAACATCTTCACTACTTGTGCTCATATTTTGGCAACTGCTTGCAAAGAGAAGGTGCAATCACAGGAGTGAATGCCTATTACTTATGTTTGACAAGACTGGATAGCTACATTTCCTGGATGGAGCTCACATTTAGAAGTGATAAAAAGAAAACATACAATGCAAGAATCTGTAAAGACACACATCTATTTAATCTTAAACAATTCTGGATCATTCTTTTTGTTAACAACTACTGTCTGTTTATATTTACTTTCTTGCAGAAAAAATTTCCTATATCCATAGAATTCAAACTTTGATGGGGGTTACACTTTGGATCTGCCACAGTTAATTGCATTCATTTCTCACATTATACATCCTTAATTATTATTTATTTACTTTTAGATTTAATTAAAAGGACCTAACACAAAATCAAGGTGCCACAGGGGTTTAAAACAAAAAAGCCTTAAATACAGAACATTCTGCAAAAAATAACACTACGGATTTGTATAAATAAACAAATTCATGGAAATTAATTGTCAGTATTGCTAG